TCTTTTAACAATCAAGGAAGGGGAAATCATCAATGCTAGGTTCTTGAAAATCTTTAAGATTTGCAACTTATCTTTGAAACATGAGCTGTCTCAATTGCTAAGTACTTGTAGTTGAATATCAAATTAAAAAAACAATTCCAGAAAGGGCAAGAAATCAACAACATACCTTATTGCTTCCTCCACAGATTGCCCAACTATATTTGAGGAGGGACCTGGCTGAGACAAAGGTGTCAGGCTTATCACCCACTTTACTGGCTTGTAGTACTCATCACTGGAACTCAATAGGTAGAACAGTGTGGTCAGAAAAATCACCTGCAAAACAAATTCGAGTTTTAAATTAAAAGGCTTTCCAGAACTACAGTATGCAGCTGTGCTTCAGATACTGAACTTCATTGGAAAGCCACACAATACTATTCCACAAGCTTGGATTTAGACACACACAGAGCCAGAATGATAATTTTCTCCCCTGCTCCATAAAGGGCTTAACAGTTATAGCTAAGCATACAACTTTTAGCCCTATGCAGCCTCTTCCCAAAGTCACACCAAACAACTAGAATGTTGATCTAGATCGAAGAATTGCTGAATAGTAACACCTAGTCTTATAAAATTAAAAAAACACCACAAAACCACCCAAGAAATAAGTCTGAATTGTCTCAAGAGTCATTATGCAGCTGGATATCAGATATGAATTAAACAGAAAGTCACAGACAGAAAATTTATAATATTTATTAGGCTGGCAATCCTGACTGAAAACTCCTCCTGTGAGTTTGAAGATGAGTTTCAGCAGAAGTGACAGCAGTTCCATTGATTCATTGACCAAAAAAAATGCAATCAGATTGTATTAGGCTTCCTGTGTGTTGCAGGCCACTATGTTTTCCTTATTTTCCTGTAAGTGGGCTCAGCAACTTCTTGGGCTATGCACACACCACAGAAACACATCTGAAATACCATAGAATACCTCAAACAAAGAAAATCCACCCTATACACTTCAATGGCAAAACTATGGCTTATATTTGCTTCATCTGCAAGCCTCAAATCTTTTTTCTTTCTTCCCCAGATAAAAAGAATTCTCTCACTTTTCTTATTTCCAACCTACTCATATAATAGAATAAACCACATCAGAATCTTTTGATAAGTCAAACAGCCTGACTTCTGTAAGTCTCTCACTTTCAAGCATTTTATCCAGTCTGCAGACACCTCATGCCCTTCTCCTGCATTCTCTCTGAACGCGCTCAGAAAACACTGCAGACAGCACAACACGCTGTAGTCCATTACCAGTCTCAAAAACGTCATCCATTTGTCTCTGTTCCTAATTCCTTTCAGCTCAATGAAGTGTTGCTACTACTTTCTCCCAGCCTTTAACTTGGAAGTCACACTCAGCTGTTCACCTTCAATGTCATATATAGGTGCATCTTTGCAGGTGTGGAACTTCTACCTTGGGTAATAAACCAATCTTGCAACTAAAACAAGTCATCACATCAGCACATTTAAACAGCATACTGTTAACATTCATTTTGAGATAATGAAAAAAACCAACAACCCAACCAAAAAAACAACCACTGAATTTGGCCTTGGTTTAACCAACAGCAGTATCAGCTATGCTTTGTTACAATTTCAAATGAGTAAATCTTAAAACCTGAATCAGATTTCAGCATCCTCTGTAATGCTGCAAGCATGGTTACTGTTTTCTTGACAGGACCCGCCTAAGCTACTATAATATTTCCCGATTTCACTACAAAACTCCCTATACTGAAGCAGGCATCCTGGTGGCATTCTGTTTTCCTTCCACTGGGATGCAGTTACGGATTCTCCTTGCAGTGCAGTTTTCAACACAGAAGGCAGCACACTGCTCTAAGTACAGTGTCTCCTCATCCTGACACTCACAAAAAGCAAAATGAAAACCAGCTCCACCGGATCTTGTTTCATTAGGACAGCCTCAGTTAACTTCTGAAGATGCTGCCTTTAGAAAAGAAGACGGCAGCCAGGGACCAAGCAAATTAACTGCAGCAAAGCTTGATTCCTAGTGGTATGAGAAACAGACAGGCAGGCTGGGGATCAGTACAAGTAACAACACGCATAGCACCTGTACTGACTGGAAAAGCCGTTCTTCCCCAGTGTTTATAGAAGAAACTTGCTTTCTTAGGGAGTAACAGCACACCAATGTACACATATCCACCTGAACTGTAAAAGCCAAAGTGATAGTTGGGGATGAACAGCAATGGAATAAAATGGTGTTAAACTGAACTACCAGCTAGGAAAAGATACAAACCTAACTCAATTTCTGTTAAGGTAAGATGCATGTAACCACAGCACCATACAAAATCATCTGAATTTTAGATTATCTGAGTTTTGGGAAATTAATATTTTTGCTTTGGCTCAACAGATACAGAAATGCAAAAAGAAGCAGTAGTCACAGAATATAACAACTTATCAAGTGGCTTGCTAACTTATAAAATCAGTAGAATAGCCTCAACAGTACATTCACCACCAAAAGGATATGTACTACTCAATATTAATTGGAGCCTTAGAGTTTTCAGACCTTTTTTACAGGATATCTGAGATTTCAGACATTACCTGAATTGTTTTCTAAGCAGCAATTCAAGATCCTGCTAAGGACTGTGAGGAGGAATTCACCAAAGATAAAATAATAATATATTTCCATTGTTAAACAACTGATGGATAACTATTTCTTGCTGTAGAATTTGTTTTGTAGCCCCTAATGTGAGGGGTGGGGAGGGGGGAGGTGGGGATAGACTGAATTCACGCAGAAACCTATGGGTAAATACTTTATACTAAAATGGTAATTTAGCATTTCCACATATATCAAGAAACACATGACTTAATTGCTTGTGCGTCAGGTTCATAGACTTGGGAAATATTTTTGTATCTGCCTTTCATATTCAATTTTCTGCCCATAAGCTTTGTTCTTGTTTCATTTCTTTATTTATTACAGCATCAAAAATTTGCATATTCCCCTCAGGACTGTCTATGTCCATCAACCAAATGGAGTTCTTCTCTTCCAATCTGCGTAACAGAGCATGAGCACAGTGAGTGTGCACACACACACAGGCATACAACCATATGCATGCATGTGTGGACAGGAACTTGCATTCAGAAGTGAAACAGAAATGTCACTTCAAACTAGTAAAAACTCTTCTGTAGCAACTAAGAACCCTGCAAAATTAAAAGCAAGACTACAGTTAAAGCTGGAGTAGTGCTTTCTTTTAAATGCAGCTCTACCTAGAGATAAATGTAAAAGAACTCGTCCTGTTTCACATTTCGAAAAAAATTTCCCTGAGTAGCCCATTAAATACATCATTTGTCAAACTACAGACATGGCATTTTTAAGAGAGTCAGCTTTTTCAGCTGACACTGCTGGCTGGACCCCAGCAACACAAAAACTGTGCTTGAATGCTGCCTACCTAGCGTCGGGGTTCAGTCTATTCAAAATGTAGAAATTCCATTCCAAAACTCCACTAATTAAAAAAAAAAAAGACATGGAAAGGATATTGGACCAGGCAGCAGTCAAAGATGCAGCAACTAAACTAGAACAATCAAAACTCTGAAACTATTTGCATCCACATTCAAAATGAACTCTATACAAAAGCTTTTTCTCCTTACTGGAGAACAGTGATAGTTTTGCCAGGAAACTGAACTTCTTAATTCAAGACTTATCGAAAGAGAGCTGAAAACACCTCATGCTGAAATCTCAGCTTAAAGACAAACTAAACTGTTAAAGATATTGTTGGAAAGCAAGTTACTGAAAAAATACCTTGCTACAGCAAAAGATGCAAATATGCCTTGAGACCCTAGAAGAACAAGAACTCTTAAGGTCACTTCTGGTCTCCTCCTCACTTGGAGGGTGTTTCTCTTTAGCTCTGAAGGAAAGGAACATGAACAGCAGGCAAATCTAACTGTTACTAAATCCCATTTGGTATAATGTCACTATCACAAAAGTGAAGAAAGCTGCAGTGATTTATCCTAGGGTCACATCTGGAGCCTTGAGACCCTAGAAGAACAAGAACTCTTAAGGTCACTTCTGGTCTCCTCCTCACTTGGAGGGTGTTTCTCTTTAGCTCTGAAGGAAAGGAACATGAACAGCAGGCAAATCTAACTGTTACTAAATCCCATTTGGTATAATGTCACTATCACAAAAGTGAAGAAAGCTGCAGTGATTTATCCTAGGGTCACATCTGGACTT